GCTTTCTTCTCAGTCTAGTGGAGTAGCAGCTCTTGTTGCTGTTCTTGTGTTGTTACTGTTAGTGGCACTCGCTCTGCTCTGGTGGTTCTGGCCCCTCTGCTGCAAAGTGGTGAGTAAAGACTGTTGGAAACTGTCAATGCATGTCTGACTCATGATGATAACTCATAGGGAAACTCAGGCTGGGAAACACAGATACCATGGGAAACAGGTTTATTAACAGGAGAGCTACATGTGACATATGCTGTCTATTGAGGGAGTTTTCTGTCATTAGCAATACACACTAAATGGAAGAACAGATCAACTTCAACGCTGAGGGCTGCACTCTTAGCAGTGCTTCTGGCTTTCTGAGACTTGCACGCAGGGAAACCAGCACCAGCATGCTGCTGTGATGCTCATTGGCTTTCTACTGAGTAAGCACATGTTCTATTTCTGTAAAAGTCTTTCATAAAAGCCTTTTATTATTTGGAAGTTGTTTGCCATAGTGGTATGAAGATGTTACCCTGAAATCGATATTTTAGAAGTACTAGCACTTAAAATTGATATTTGTAATCCATTAAGGGCTCTCAAGGTAGAAATCCCTTATTGTCTTAATAATCCTTTGCATACATTGAATCTCTCTTCATCAGAGTGCATGTTTATTATTCATCCAGTTCAATGACAGTGCTGAGGACTTGGGGAATGGAGATTGCTTCCAGGATGTTAACTGCACTCCTTGTCTTGTCTTGGGCTTGTCTTGGGGACAGCAGAAGAACCCGTTTCTGATTCTCACCTGACCATGCTGAAACGCTTGGGTGCGGTCTGTCAGACCTCAGGCTATCCTAGGGCAAGAAATCCTCAGCTCCCATCTGCATCCTCATGGTCTGCGGTTTCTGTGTCCTCTATGAACTCATCTCTAATAAGAAGACTCTCTTCTGTCTCATTCTTCAAAGTACAGCCCCATCACAAATCTCAGGAGTTTGCCTGTTAGCTATTTTACTTCAACTTTGTTTTCTATCACGAGTCTTCTGTAGAAAAGGGAAATTCAAAATCACTAAGAAGAAAGCTTCCAATTTTCTTTATTTAAAGTAATTAGGTAACCTTAACTCATAGGACCATCTTCACACTTCTTAGTTTCTATACTTTCCAAATGTAGAAAGCAGCTACAAATAGGCTAGTTTGTCAGAGCTCTCAGTACAACTTACCTCGCCTTAGTAGGGGTTGTCACTAGCTGAATATGACTGTCAGAACATAATCCGTGTGTCTACAATTTATGTTAGCCCAGAATCAGTCTTTTGCATCTGGAAGTGCAGTTGATCACACCATACTCAGTTGTGCATTCAGTTTTCCTCATCTGCCAAGTGGATGTTTGAGGGTTTTTTTCAGCATCAAGTTTACACATGCAGTGAAAAAAATCCAAATACTCTTCATATTGGTCAGTGTTCAGAAGTGTCCTGGGTTCAGCAGTAGCAGTCATGTTTTTCCTTTGTGTTAACTGGTGCAGTGCTGTGTTTTGACTTCTAGCTTGAGAACAGTGTTGGTGAAGCCGATGTTTTTGGTTGTTGCTAAGTGATGTTTACCCTGACCAAGGACTCTGTGAGGCTCATGCTCTGCTAGGGAGGAGGGGAAGCCGTGAGGAAGCAGAGACGGGGCGCCTGACCCGGGCTAGCTGGGGAGGTATTCCATACCACAGCACGTCATGCCCGGGGTGGGGGGGTAACTGGGAGTTACCCAGAAGGACAGGGGCTTCCGGGTGGAACTCGCTTTCTTGCCCGGTGGTATCGTATTCTCTTCCCTTGTTATTTTCCCTTATCATTGTTTTAGCTGATAGTAGCGGTGGTGATTTGTTGCTGGACTGTTCTTGTCTCAACCCGTAGGAGTTGCACTCTCTCGATCCTCCTCCCCGTTCCTCCGGGAGCGGGGAAGAGGAGAGCCCCGGTGCGGGGGGGGGGGGGGGGGAGGGAGACGGACACGGACCTCGATTGTTGTCAGCTCGACACCACTCACTGGGAGTGAGTGAACAACTTACCTGACTGGGTTTAAACCACGACAGTTCTTAAAGCCTACAGCACCCGGGATTCCCAGGCGGTGTCCCATCCAAGTACTAACCGAGCCCGACCCTGCTTAGCTTCCGAGATCAGACGAGATCGGGCGTTTTCAGGGTGGTGTGGCCGTAGGCTTTAAGAACTGTCATGGTTTAAACCCAGTCAGGTAAGTTGTTCCCCGCAGTCAGCGGGGAAGGGGAGAGCCCTGGTGCGGGGGGGGGGGGGGGGAGACGGACACGGACCTCGATTGTTGTCAGCTCGGCACCACTCACTGGGAGTGAGTGAACAACTTACCTGACTGGGTTTAAACCACAACAAGAAGTCAATGCTTGTCAGTGGTCAGTTCTCATGCTGTAGTACAACCTCATATACTGTGCATTTTCCTTTCATTACGGTAAGAAGTGACTGCAGTATCTCATCCTCTTGAGAGGAGGAATTCTCTTCCCAGTGGTGACTCTGTAATGACATCAGTAAGGTGCTTTCTGGATTTTTTGATGTTCAAGCCCTACATTAAAAAAAAAGGTCAGATCTATAGTTCTGCAGGTTAATTTCCAGTCCTTTTGGTAGTTATGCTAGTGTAATACATTAAAATGTTAGCTGCACCAGCCTATGCCTGTTACAAGTGAAAAGAGTTCAGTTTATATTACAGGTATACATCAACACATGTGCAGAGCTCTGGAGGGGTATCTCAGATAGGACCCAATTCATGGGAAGAGATGCCCTTTATAACCAATTACAGAGTGAAGATCCTACATTGGGTGCCGAGGATGCACTGTGGCATTAAGGCAGGGTTCTTTCTGGACTGGTCTCTTGTGTGGAGATACATCTCCACAAAGCAGCACTGAGCTGTGAGAAAAAATCCCTTGGTTCTCACTCACCTTGGGTTTAAGTCTGTTCCTTTCTGATGCATACTTTAAGGGATGGTAACTTACCTGAGTATCTTTCCTGGATATAGTGTTTGATACAGGAGTAATTGGCTATTTCTGGGGACGTCTTGATCTATGGATGATTGGTAAATTATTACTAAGAAGCAGCCTGACTTCTGTGGGCCCAATAAAGCCACAGCACTTTAAATGTTAGTGCCCTCTGTTGTCTTCGCCCCACCTCTTATGGATATTATTTGTTTCTTTGAAAAGGAAAGGTAATTTTAGACTCACTGCTACAACAGTACTGAGTTCGAAACCCATATATTCTTGCACTGAACTCTTTTCCTTTCCTTGTGTTTTGATGTCTGTTTCCTCCATCCATTATACCATTCCTCCATTCTTCTCCCTCTCTTCTGCACCTGAGGTTCTCACAGTACATGTTACTGCCAATTCTGGCTATGCAGCTTTGGGTTTTGGTGATGGTGTCCTTGATGAGAGGCAGCAAATCAGGCACAGGCAGGACCTTCTCTGACTCTGCTTCCCTGGCAGAGTGCAGCGTCTAGTTTTGTGGGACAAAGAATAGGAGCAAAGGAGAAAGCAGCAGCCCTCAAGCCTTGTAAACTTCCCATGCTTCAGAATCAAATGGGAGAGAGGGAGGCAAAAGGTGTCCTGGACAGAACACAGTGAGTGTCTGGAGCCACATGAGCAAGTAATCCCTTCCACAGTAAGCCTCAGCTGATTTAGGCACTCCATTCTTGCTGGGCCTCAGTCCTGACTGTGTTCCTCGCTGTAAGGTCGATGTTGGGGTAGGTGGACTCCTTTTCCTTGTTCTTCCTCCCTCCCACCCTTTTTTTTTTTTTTTTAAAGCAGTTTACTGTTGACAGTTCTTTCACTCTTCTTCCCTCAATATCAGAGCATATGATCGCATCAAGCTGGCTTCAGGCTCTGGTGCTGACATTTCCTAATGCCCACATCACGCGAACATTTGAAAAGTGTTAATGAGCAGATCAAAGGGACTGTTGCCTGAAGCAACTAACTTTTTTTTCTTTCTTTAAGAAATCAGCTCTCCTCCAAACTCAGTTCTTCATTCTTTGCAACTAAATAAATGAGATGCAGCCTTTCATGGTGATGATGATGCTGATAAGCCAAAACAAAATTAGGAAGTGAACCCTCGCTACCTGGGGTTAATAAGACAGCAGCATTATTCAGTCTTCCCTATTTAAACCATCTGAATCAAGTTCAGGGAAAGGTAATTTGCAGTATTAAGATCTCCAGTATGTGCAGTTTCATGCTACATTTGCATTCTTTTCTGCCAAAGCTGCATCAGTTCCTTGGATTTCTGTTTCTTAAAAATGGCTTTCTACTAAAAAATGGCTTAAAAGTGGCTTTCTACTGATTTCACTTGAAATATCACTCAAGACTGAAAATAATCTTTGTGTGTGTGCGTGTGAGAGAGAGGGAATGTGTGAGGAGCCTGTAGAAACATAAGGATGCAGGCATTTGCATTCCACTTCTGTCAGCAGGGGTGAGTATCTGCTACTCAAAGCAGACTATTTTCTCACACCACTGTCACATTTAAAACAAGTTTCATTTTCTGAAGCTATTAGAAATAGCAGCTAATTAATGTATTGGTTAGCTTCAAGCCAAGTGTACCCTGTAACTTCAGGGAGCTTAGCAGCTGGCACAGGATTAGATCCTTCATTTACAGAATCAAACTGCCACTGACTTGGCTCTTTTGAAGCCCAGCGAGGTATACCTGTAGTTCTTCTTGGCTCACTGGGGTAGAAATGTTGATTCCGTAAATATCAGTATGCACAGGGCCCAAGAAAACTTTAGTATGTGCCACAAAGAAGTTTGTCTTTGCTTGGGGGAGATGGCAAAACTTCAGAATTGTTGAACTGTAGAAAGTGGAGTGATAATACCATTTAATGCATATTTATATATGCATATAATACCATTTAATGCATATTTCTATAAAGCCACAAGCTAGCTAGGCCTTCCCCCTGTACAAGCTTGCAGTCTTGGCAGCAAAATCCATTTTTTGAGCTAATCATTAGAGATGGGCAAAAGGGAAATAGGAATGTGAATTAAAGAAGATAAGGTGACCCTTAATACACTGAAATACTGCTTTACCATTTCCAGTCTTTTAATTGCTTTCAGTGAGAATTAAATATCTTCATGCCCTGGAAAACCTTGCTCAGCATCCAAGTATCTCACAGAATCTGTCCTGTGATCCCTCTGTGTTGTTTGCTCTTGTAAAATGAGGGCAGTAATTCCAAGCTAGTTCTCAGGAATGTTTCGCTGATTAAATAATCCATTTCTGTTAAGTAACATGAAAATTCCTGATGGGTGGAAAGAAAAAGTTTTCAGCACTAATTCATGAAAAGTAATGTCTGACATCATAGCAGCAAAGGATGCCTGGTTAAAATCCATAGTTGGCTTTTCAGTCCACTCCAAGTGCTCTGAGCTTGCTTGACAAACAGTTAAGTATCTCAAACCTGAAGTGCTATGGAAAAATATTTCTAGGGGTGCTGTAACTTCTCTTATTTGACATAATTCCTGTATCCAGCGCTAAAAGTCCACAGGCAGTAACTAGTGACTATCTTGGTAGCACTGTGTCTTGAAATGGAAATCAAGAAGGAAAACTCTTGATTATTGGTCAAGAAAAGTACATTTCTTTTATGTATGAGGCTATGCATCTCTGCAGTGACATTATTTATCATGGACATTGGTGGTCATGTTTATGTAATACTAAGGCATAGCTGAAACAGACTCCTTGATACTCATGGGGCATTTTTTAGTCATTACTATACAAAAGCCGAGTGCAAAAGATGACTTGACATCACTAGAATACTTTTTAGCTCACAAATCTGCTTTTTCTGTTGAAGAATGGCTGGCATTCACTTTTCATCTGAATTCATCCTCTTCCCCTCTCTATTCTGCTTGGTGGATTCCTATCAGTAGCAAGGAACTCCCTGAGATGTACAGTATGTATGTGAGAAAGAGAACAGGAAGAAACTATAGGTAGAGGTTTAAATATAGCTGTAAGTAAATTATCCTAAGAGCAGGTCTTATCCAGAAGCCATTTGAGAAGCCTCATGACTCTCCCTGCTGCTGGCAGGAGTGCCACACTGAACAGTCAAGGAGCTACACACTTGAAATGATTAGATCTCAAATGTGAGATCTGTGGAAACACTCTAAACGTCTAGAAGTGAAGCCTGACCTACTAGCAGGCATTTCACACTTATCATTCCGCCAGAAATTATTCAGTAGCATGGCACAAGGAAGCCGGCATCTTGGCCCCAGATTAATCAAGACCTCACATAGACCTTATAATGCTTTTCTTTCCAGGCTTGCTAATGAACTCCATAGAGTTTAATCACTGGCTATTACTTTGAATGACTGAATCCTGTCCGATCAGGAAGCAAAGTGGCAGACACGTATGCCCAAAGAGTGTCTGCCAGTCAATGGATGTTATTTTCTATTAGATGGATGGTGTTAATTTCCAGAAGGCCTTGGTAATCGATACCCAAGGGACTTGGCAGCAGCAGTTGCCAGTTTGCAAACAGATATAGGGGACTCAGATGGAAACAGTTCACTCTTAAAATTTTCTGTTGGGTTTTGGATGCTGTCAATGCAGTTTCTTATGCTTTTGTATGTTTGGCTCTTTCAGGTCATCAAAGATCCCCCTCCGTCTCCACCAGCTCCCAAAGAGGTATGGTATGATGGTGCTTCGCTCATCACACTGCTTAACACCACACCACTCTGTGCTTTCCTGTGTTCTGTGACTTCAGCTCTTTGTCCTAGCTGCTTCGGAAGAAAGAACTACCCTGTGGGAAGCCTTAAGATGAGAACAGGATGGCTAAAGTCCAAATCTCTGTTCTGCCTCACTCATCTCAGTGTGGCATGAATTAAGGCCAAATTCACAGAAATATCTAGAGGCTTTATCCCAGTATAGCTGAACGTTATTTTTCCCATTCTGGAGCGAAAACAGAAAGACTGACAAGCTCTTGTTATAACAATCAAAAGACTCCTGTATGACTTAAAGAGCATTTTCCCACAGCTTTGCCATTCTAGACACTGAACAAGCCTTACAAGGGAATTTCTCTCCCTCTTACGGGCAATAATGTGCTAGAGGATGTTCTGGTGTCTTCAGTATTTTTCCCCCTTGGTCTTGATTTAGATGATTGCTTGAGCATAATCAAGCATACTCTGACAGTTAGGTCCATGATGAGGCACACTTGACTGAGCTGAGGCAGCCAAGAGCAAGTTTGACAAAGGCTGGCTTAGGAAACTGTGTAACCTTTATCTGCAGATCTGCTGAACACCGTCTGTTGAATCCAAACGTGTAGGCCTGATGATCTGTCTCGCGGAAGACATTATATTTTCTGTAGAAGAAGCCACTCCAAATTCTTCTCTTTGTGTATGTTTTGCTTATTTTTATTTGTGGAAAGGAAAAGGATGAAGCAAATAAATGACTGCCAGTAGAACGCACAGATTCTTCATTTGGACTTCACTGATGGTCACCACCAATGCTTTTGTCATGCGAAATACTAGAAGTACTTCCAAACATGACCAGATTTTGTTTGGAAGTTGCTGAACCCTTGGGAAAGTTAAATATCTGAACTTTCACACCTGACACGAGAAAACTTACTCTCTGTGGACTTTAGTGAAATATAGTTAAAAAGACAGTTAGTGGGGAAAGAAAAAATTATCTTTTGAAGTAAATGTTGTTTGAATTTATTGACAGGAAGAAGAACAAGAGCCCTTGCCTACCAAGAAATGGCCCACAGTAGATGCTTCTTACTATGGTGGACGAGGAGTTGGAGGAATTAAAAGGATGGAGGTTTGTGCAATGGGGAGATGCCAATTCACTGACACACAAGCTCTCTGAGGCTACAAGTGGTGGACACACAGACTTTCAAAGTGTACTGGAAATACAAGGGCATAATATGTACTTCCTTCCAGTGACGTAAGCCTTGAAAACTCTTTTACTGTATCAAACAATTTTGACCTTGCCTATGAAAGAACAGCTTTCAGTAATTCCATTTGACTGGAACTTTAAATAGCTGCCTGAAGACATGCTCTTTCCATCGAGCTAATGAGAAAGAGAGAGTGAGAGCCTTTTCTCAATGTTTTGGAAGAAATTACAGTGAAACATAAGTCCTCCAACTGCGGGCCAGCCAAATGAGCTGACAATGGTGATGCGAAGGAGAGGCTTGATCCCAAAGGAGCTCAGAGCGACAACAGTGCCTGTCTTTGAAGAGACACGATAGCATCATGTTAATTAAAACAGAATGAAAAATGTGCATCCTTATGGGCACGTCCTTATGTCAGATTTTATAGTCAAGTCAGCCTTTATGGCATTTGCAAAGCAGTTTTCTGCAGCTTTTAACTTCATTCTCCATCTGAAATACCCACCTAGGTCATATTGATGTATCTTGATGAAACTTTAAAGGTATCGGCCTAAGAGTCAGCCTTGCTTGAGTTCTTTTTAAATGCAGCAGAAGAACGTGCAAGTTTAAGGTTGTGCTGCTTAGATGTGTTTCCTTCAGCAGTTCATCATTGCTAATTTAGAAGTGATACAGATTCTAGAAAAAGAAAACATTCTGTGCAGTTCTTTTCAGAGACAAACTAGATCATACTTTCCAAATTAAAGAATGCAAGTCTGGATTTTCAATGGGAGCTGTGATGAAGCTCTGGGAGGGGTTCCAGGGTTTAAATCATTACAGTTTGTAAATGGGATCTTGCACAATGAAACAAAAACCTGTTAGATAGCTGGTGAGCACAAGTAACATCGGTACTATCAAGAAATCCTTGTTCATCATGTGGGAAAAATACAGTATTTCCTCTTCAGAGTGGAGATCAAAAAGTAATGATGAGGTTAGAAAACTTGATCTGTGTGAGGAATTGTGTGCAGGACTAAGGGCTAAAGATGTAAACCAACTGAAACTGCTGATAAGGCAATAATGGGCTCTTGAAGGGAACTGCATTCTTGGGAGCTGTGTCTGTGTCCTTCTATGGGACCCAAGAATAGTAACCCAAGAGATTCAGAGCAGCCCTGCAGAGAAGGACTTGGGGGTGTTGGTCGATGAGAAAATGAAGATGAGACAGCAGTGTGCACTCGCAGCCCAGAAAGCCAACTGTATCCTGGGCTGCATCAAAAGGAGTGCGACCAGCAGCTTGAAGGAGGTGATCTTGCCCCTCTACTCTGCTCTTCTGAGACCTCACCTGGAGCACTGTGTACAGTTCTGGTGTCCTCAGCATAAAAAGGACATGGAACTGTTGGAACAAGTCCAGAGAAGGGCCACGAGGATGATCAGGGGACTGGAGCACCTCCTGTCTGAGAATAGGCTGAGATAGGCTGAGAATGTTGGGGCTGTTCAGCCTGGAGGAGAGAAGGCTGCATGGAGACCTCATAGCAGCCTTCCAGTATCTGAAGGGGGCCTATAGGGATGCTGGGGAGGGACTCTTCATTAGGGACTGTAGTGATAGGACAAGGGGTAATGAGTTAAAACTTAAACAGGGGAAGTTTAGATTGGATATAAGGAGGAAATTTTTTCCTGTTAGGGTGGTGAGGCACTGGAATAGGTTGCCCAGGGAAGTTGTGGATGCTCCGTCCCTGGCAGTGTTCAAGACCAGGTTGGACAGAGCCTTGGTTTAGTGTGAGGTGTCCCTGCCTGTGGCAGGGGGGTTGGAACTAGATGATCTTAAGGTCCTTTCCAACCCTAACCATTCTATGATTCTATGATTCTAACAAATTGTGGGGTTGGGTGTCACATCGTGAACACCTGAGCATTTGAGTATGGAGCTTTACTTCTGTCCTGTTTCACTCCTGCCTTCCCCAGTAGCTTCACCCATTTGCGACAGTCCAGCATGTAGCCAGCATTGTTCACTCTTCGTAGATCTGCCTTTTGGCGTTACTTTAAAAGTTTATGATGACATTTCTAGCCCCACCTATTACAGGCAGTCAGTTTTTATGTGAAAGTTGTGTCGTCATACTCCACAAATCCTGGGTTCTTTTGGGTGAAGTCACTTTATTCCAAAGGATAAGGTCATCTTAGCAGCAAGGAATCCACCATCTTTCTCTAAATGATTTTAACAGTGTTTAAAATAGTTTTTTTAACAGCCTCGTAAAAAACACCATAAAAGTACCATTGATCACTGTGCAAGACACAGATGCATTTTAATGAGGCAGCAGGGCCTACTTGGACATGAAAGCCCATTCTAATATTGCAGAGAGTGGATTCCCCAATGAGGAGAAGAAATTAAATAGCAAGCCAAACAGTAAGGTCCAAAATAACAGAAAGGTCCAAAAGAATCCCCCTCCTGAGAAACAATGGTGTGTTTTACCAAGGTGAGTTACAATATTACAGACCAAATTAAGCTCTGTTGTAGTTTGCTACTCTCACTCTTTATACTGAGATTACATGGGAAAAACACACTTCCTGGTGGTGATAAAATGACAAAATTTTCCTCCAGAGTATTTCATTTTTCTGAAAGGGCCTAGACTCTGGCATGCCTACATATTTTCTGCACTTTCTCTGTCAGCACATTGTGCGTATGGTGCTGATGAGGATGAAGTCAGGCTGCTTCCTTCTCCCATTCTATGCCATACTTATCCCAGCACATTACAGAGTGTCCCTAGGAGGACCTGGAGAAGTCTTCCCACTCCCTCTGGGCAGCAGAAGGAGGACCAGGGGCATGTCTTCTTCCTGGTGAGCAAAACTGTTTTGCATCCCTTGGCAGTGGGACAGTTGTTGCACCCCAGTTCTTCTGCCTACTTTTCAAGTGCTTGACCTGGCAGGTAGCAAGAAAGAACTGATACGCACCTACTAAGCAGCGTGCAGTGATGCTCCTAATGCTTTCCTTCAGGGTGGAAGGTCAGTCTTGTCTGACTTTTCTTACTTAGGTTCTTCTCTCTTCATGCCAGGAGATCCCTGAGAAAAAGGAGTATGCTGGTGAGGTCCTGCAGGAACCTGTTTTCCACTAAGTTTCTTGACTCATCAGCGTGTCACATTTACCCAGGATGTAATGTCAGAATTTGATTTCCTGAGTTTAGGTCTGTCAGGTCCTCCTTACAGGCTACATTGTAGCAGATGGCATGATTTAGGAAGTCTTGCACTGAAAATTAATCCAGGCCATTTTTACCAAGAACTTCCAAACACCAGGCATAGCTTTTAGATGCTCTTTTTGGGTCACAAAGTAACAATCTTATCTAGGTTTGCTGCTTTGTACAGTACAGCAGACATCCTTGCTCAAATTGCTTCACAGTGTTTCCAATGAGAAGATGAAATAATATTACTGTAGTAAGACAAATCATCTCTCTTAGAGGGAAGTTTGGTTTGTTGGTTTGGTTTTTTTTTTCCTGTATTTCCTCTTTACAGCATAATAAGTACAACCTTTTATGGAAATGGAAATAAATGCTTGTCTTACCAAGGGCAATAACCCAGGTGTCCTTTCTCTTTGAACTCTTTGTATATATTCTGTATACTTAGGGCAGTGATAAAATATACATTGCTACATGTTTTACATTAACTTACCATGCATGTTAGACTACTTTATCTGCATTTGCTCCAGTATGTATCTTCATGCAGGACTACTTGAAACCTGAGTAGTTTCAAGGAGCTTCTGCTAAAACCTGCTCAAGTATTGCCTTCTATTTAATTGGGGTTCTCAACAAACATGCTGTGTTAGGAAATCTGGGGTGACAAAGATCTAGGCTGTCATCAGTGCCAGGTTAAGGTCTGGTATTGTAAGATAAATCTGAACTAGAAATAATACCTTTACATCATTAATTAGATGATTTCCTGTCTCCTATACAGCCTGTCTGCATGGTACAGTTGAATTCTCTTTCAGTATTTCTCTTGCGTTTTCACTACTGAGAGTGCCTGAATGAAGAGGGAACATTTTCCTCAGTACCTCCCGTCTTATTTATTCAGAACTTCTTCCAAATTTAAATGTTTTCAATTACTTCTGTTATTTGCAACAGTTCCCTTGTCCACTGCATACAGCACCTTCACATCTGAACTCTGGCTTTCCTTAGGTTCGCTGGGGTGATAAAGGATCCACTGAAGAAGGGGCTAGATTAGAAAAAGCAAAAAATGCTGTGGTGAAACTCCCAGAAGAACCAGAAGAACCTTTTTATCCAAAGCCACCTAGACCAAAGCCTACCTCACCAGCCATTCAGGAGAAGTGGTATACGCCAATTAAGGTAATCTTTGCAGTCTTCAATATAAGAGAATTCTGTGCTAAAGGCTGGATTCTGCCTTACCAGTCTTTTGCATGCTGAAGCGTAGATTATTTTTCAAGTATTCACATCCAAGTGAAATGTACTATTCTCAAAGCAAACACCTACTCAGGATGAATAGCAAGAACAGTTTTTAGCCCTAAATACACTGCGTCATTAATGCCACATTCTGTTTTCCTTTTCCTGGTAAGAGTACTAAAATCTGTGAGGCCTTTGTTGGCATTTGGTCTATCTCAGTGTTCAAGGCTGGGTTAGACAGAGCCTTGGGTGACATGGTCTAGTGTGAGGCGTCCCTGCCAATGGCAGAGGGGTTGGAACTAGATGATCCTAAGGTCCTTTCCAGCCCAAACCATTTTATGATTCTGTGATTCTGTAACTAAGCCTAACACGCCACCTTTTGTAGCTGTTTTAAACACACTTACCAAGAAAACCATGCAACCAAGAAAAGCAAAAGATTATATAAAACAATATAATGCAAAAAGTCTGATAAACAAGTGAAACATAATAAATGGCATAAAATAAAGATACTGATTTCCGTAGGTGCTGTGAGTTGTGTAAGAGCAGACAATACATGGGTTTACCTGGGAGTATGGATGTTCTGCCTTCACAGCTGTATACCACATCCCTGGCAGTTCGAAAGCTGCTTGAGAACAACCAACCTGCTGTATACATGCTGTAAGAACAAATACATTGATGTGAGAGAAACCTCAGATGGACACATGGCAATTCAGCCCAAAATATTGGTAAATAAACATATTACTTCTAGATGGCTCAGAAGTAAATGTGGGTTAGGTCACAGCCACTGCAGGGCAGATAAGAGCACAGTACCTGCCATTCATTCACTGATGCAGCCACATGGTGTAGGTGACATAGCTGAAATCTGTCTGGCCCTAGGGAACTGGTGCTCAGTGCTGCCAGTACATTTCTCCATGGAGCAACGTGGATGGTAACTTAGCAGGTGTGCTCTCCATTGACTGATTTTGTTGTACTGAAAGTCGTGTTGCTCTGTTGCCACAGGGTCGACTCGATGCACTGTGGGCACTGTTACGAAGACAGTATGACAGAGTCTCTTTGATGCGACCACAGCAAGGAGATGAGGTTTGTGTGTGGTGTGTGTATCTGCTATGGTTAGCATGTCGCAGCCAGGCTTTAGCACCTGCTGAACGCTGGCAATCTTGTGACATTAAATAAGGAAAGCACTGCAGCCGAAAGAATGGCACAACAGGAAATATAAAGCATGGGGGAAACAAAGGGCATTGAGAAATGCATCACCCCAGCCCCAAGATATTGCAGAAACATAGATCTCCTGAAAGCAGAGTGAAGGACTCTTTACTTTGTGTGTGTTCAGCTAGAAAACAAAAACATGGCACACACTTCATTCAGTGTAAACTTTCTGTAACAAATACCAAGTCTTTCTTAGAACCAGCTATTTAGAGTAGAGGCTGGCAATCAGAACACTAAAACCACATCAAATTGAAGTGACCATCTGACTTCCATGTAGTCTGCTTCTCATAGCCTTGCACTTCCGTACCAGAGGCAACTTTCACGGAAAGGAAGAGGTAAGGAAACCTTTTCCTCAGACAATCCTTTCTTCTTCACCTGTGACCCATGAAAAAGTGGCCTCCACTACAAAGGCTGCTATGACTGGGAAGCAGAGTTGTTACTTGAACCTTTTATAGTGAAACTACATTGTGTATTTCTGGTTGTTATTCCTCACAAGAGTATTATTTTAAATCTTAGCATTCATCTGAGGAACTGATTTATCTTCAAAATATTTCTGTCCTCCTAGGACCATTTAGCTTCCTGTTGCACATCTGAAGAGACACAAGAGCAAATGATTTCCTGTAAATGAGATGGCCCTGGATGGGTGTTGACAGGTCAGGTTCTTTCATAGAGCAGTAGCGTGCAAGAACACTATTTCTGCAACATACACCATAAGGGTGACATGAAACTAATTAGAGGGGTTAAAAGGAGTGTGTTACCTTTGGGAGAATGAGAGGTAAATCGGTGCTTGCATTTTTTAATTTGGATGTAGTTTGGTACTGTTCTAAAGAAGGAAAAGGGGAGACTGAATTAAGACTGGTGTTGAAAGAAGCAGAATGTCAGAGTGCAATGCTGGAAATAGCATAGTCAAATACTTGTGTTAGCATTCTAGTTGTTAATGTTGGAAAGTTACCATTTGCACAAACCATGCATGTTACATGTAGCAGAATTAACAACAACAAATCTACATGAAAAATAAACAGTACAATACAGCTTAACAGGTAAAAATCAATGTAAATAGGAACATAGAACTGTTGCATGACCAGGCTAAAGATTTTTCAGCCAGGCCTTATTTTAAGGATTTCTGACTGTTAAGACAGGTAGGTACCTTAAAAGTTACCTGCCAGGGAAGCCTTTGCTGAGCCACCATGGAGTCAGGCATAACACCTTCTCAGAACTTGACAGTAAGACACTGATCCACATCCTGTTTTCTGAAAACAGAGAAGTAGCTCACTCATCATCAGTTTCCTCACTAAAAAAGGAGTAGCATTTGTAGTGATGAATAAAGGCTGAACAAATGGTTGTTAAGGTGTGACACAGGGCACTGTGAGAGTGCAATTTGTGTCTAGTATGATATTTTTTATCTTGGGGAGTGTGTGTGTGTGTGTGTGTGTGTGTGTGTGTGTGTGTGTACTCTGTTTACTGTTTCCTGCCTTGCTAGTCAGAGATCTCATGGTGTACCCTGGTGGATTTAAGTCAGTGAATAGCCAAGCAGTCACACGTATGTACAGTGAGACACACACAGATGTAGTTATGTCAGAAAAACTGTTACGGTGAACAGCAGCCACATAGTTGTTTTGCTTTGTTGTCTTTCTGTTATGGCTTAAGAACTTGGTAGTTGCCACTCGTAGAAGAATTCACTGCTGAATTTAAGTCCTTTATCAAGTAATTGAAATTTAGGCATGAGGTATCAAAGATCAAAGCAGAGTGAGCCGTTTCTTCCTTCTCCTTCTCCTCTCCTCTGCCACCTCTGCCACACTGCCAGGTGATGCTGAAGGTGGCCTAGTTTGAGGACTGAGCACTCTCGCTTTGATTGTGGAAGGAAGTCCTTGGAGTGATCCATTTTTCAGCTAACAATCCGTGAGATTAGGGAAGCTTGTGCAGGTGTGAGCTAGCAGGTTGTCACTGACATCTGTTCTGAGTGGAGGCACAGGTCCTCGGCAGCCTGCAGCGAGGTTGCAGGACTGTCAACAGATGTAGTTAAGAGTGGCAGAACAGTTTTGGTCTCACATTTGCCGCCTGGGGGCTGAAACACTAAAGGTAGAGTGGGGGTGGACACAGCTGTGCTCCCAAACATGCCTCAGGCACAAATGAAGAGATCCAATATAGTTTGACTCTGTTGTGGTGGAGAGATGAGGACAGAGAGCCACTTCAGAGACAACTTTGCACTACAACATCTGCTGCCAAGTTTCCAGGGAGTGACAGGGGACAGCAGGTACAGATCGAAGTCCCCACATAAACAGCCTCCATTAAGCCATGAACTCTTTTGAAGGGCTCCCATCAAACATCATTGGGGAGTCCGCAATGGGAGATTTTGTTTTCAAGCCATGTTTTGTTTTCTGCACTAACAAGCTAATTTATAAATGATGCATTACCCTGTGTTCATACTCCTGTCTGTACTTCCTTTTGTTATTAAAGGGGGAGAAAAGAGGGAGCCACAGTAGTGTTGGGGTACTTTGATAAAACAGTTAACTGTTTGAGGATCTTATCTGAGATTGTGGCAACCTTCAATGTGCAATGTCGCATACAGCCAGGAAGCAGAGTGGAATGCGCACGCCATTGCCTCTTCCAGGGAATCATTACTGCATGAGAACAGACCTTGGCACAGGTTCTCAATGCTAACATTGGGAACTGGTCTTTTCTCCAAATCCTGGTGTTTGTTTTCTGATTCATAGCTTAGCACCTAAAGGTAATCATCAGGTCTCTTCAAATTTGTTATCTGACCATGTTGCTTTGTGCAGTTTGATAGTAGCTGAGATTCTGATCCTGTGCATGTTAATACACACAATTTTCCTTTAAGTCCACAAAAAGCCTATGGCACTTATATTTAAAATGTTGCCCTATCAATATGCAAGTATGTGGGACTGGTAAAAGGGAAAAAACATCAGTAGCTAATCACAGAAGAATTTCTATAATAGAATTAGAGAATAGCTTTTTAATGTTACAAAATGGCCTAATAAAAAGGAGGACACTTAATTTTAAACCTGTTTATTACCATTTGCCTGCTTGAAAGATTCTTTCGTAGTAATGGCTGCAGAATTAATACAAACAAGTGTTTAAACTCATGTTACTTTGTGAGCATATCTATGTTACACAAATGAATTATACTCTGCATTGTGACTTGGTTAGCACCACACAATTCACAGTTAGAAACACTTTGTCAGTATTCTGTTCTCTGAGACGAATCCCATGTTACTGTTCCCTTTGTGATTCTTTGGTAATTCCTAAACTTGGCACAGGCAGGAAATACTAAATCATTAATTGTTAGAAGGCTGAGGCTGTAAGTGCCTTACAACTGAGAACAAACACTCCATAACGGCAGTGCCATCATCCCCCTTTGCAGCAGAGTTGCCCCTCAGCCAGCACACTGCTGTCTTGCCTAAGGGGGGTAACGGGAACAGGAATGAGACTAATGGTGGCAGCATTTTTTAGTTTACTTCTGTATTCTCTAAACCCAGAACTATTTGTCCATTCTCTAACCAAGGGGGACCTCCTTGAAGAAAATGAAGGTGATTTGGCTCCTTTTTTAGCACTGCAGGTTGCTGAAATGCATAGAGAAATAACAAGTTACAGTTAGAGAAAGGTTACTGGGGCTGCTTAGAAGTAGTACGTGTTTTGGCTTAAAATTAAACTGCACTAGCAGTAATTCAAACTACAGTATAAGACTCAGTTCAATGGATCTTCTCCTTCAATGATAGTATACCCATTGAGCAAAGCATTTAAGGTCCTTTCCAACCCAAACCATTCCATGATTCTATGATTTTATGATTTTTATGAAAACCAATTGTCCCTTGGCATGCCTAAAAGCACTGCAGTTCTTACCCCCCCTCCAAGCTATACTAACAAATTATTTGGCAATACAGTTTTTATTAGTATCTGTTTCACTGGGTATGATTTAAAAAGGAAAAAAAAATTTGTTTTTTTGATTCCTCAAACATCTTTTTCACGGTGTGGAGTACACTAAAAGCCGTTGTAGTTAATAGCTACCTGGCTGCGAATGAAGAGGGGGCAGTGTGTGTGTAACCAAACCTGGTTGTAAAGCACAGCTCCCAGCTTGAGCACAGCCCTTCTGCAGTTGATGTTCATGATGAGCATCTTATTAGTCCAGTTTAGGAAGAGAACTTAGTTTCAGCTTAGGCAGCGAGAAGCAAGCTGACAGGTTCATGTAGTTGCTCCTCTCCAGAAGAGATGTGGGAGCTTTAACTGTCTTGGGCGCACAGATTTATTGAGTAGTCCGATGCTCCTAACCAGATTAGTTCCTTTTCCATTAAGTGCTGAAAGTAGGGCAGCTGTCCGAGCGGCTGGTTGTAAATTCGATAATGTCTGCTGTGTTAATCTGTAGGCTTTTCAGATGAAGAAGGCAGCAGATAACAGGATTAGTTTCACGACCCAGGGTTTTCACAGCCCGAGACTCGGGCATAAGGGGATAGAGGATGACTTCTGTCATTAATCTTAATTGATTGCCAAGAGATTTTAAATTGTGTTATTAATTAGGAAGGTCCTTAACACACTGTCTACATATCAACATCAGATGCTCTTTTGGGACTTTTGGGACATATGGCCTATCTTATATTTACATTCACACAATTTACACATACATACATTTCGGTATGAAGAAATTCTTATATGTATATATGCATACAAATGGCTGTGGGAGCACTTGCATGTGCAGAAGCAGCACTCTCTCTTAGGCAAAACATAATGAAAGTGAAAAACCTGCTTCGAACAAAGGTTACATTTCCATACAAGAAACGTGTATACCTCTATTTAGGGTGATATGTATATTAATCCATTTTGGTTATAGATGCCATTTATCTTGATTACCTTTGATTTGCAGATTTAAATCATGTTTAACACAAGCACAGCACATGTCTCTGTGCCTCTGGCCATTCAGACACAAATCATGACTAGAAATGTTACCTTTTTATCTTTCCCAGTTTTGGTGAGTTAATGGTCGGGCCTTCACTTTTCAGTTTTCTTATTTTTAAACAAGTTCCTGCTGGACAGGCAGTACAAGTAGAGGTGCATCTTTCTATAGCTGCAGCTACCTAACTGTGTGATAAATCCCAGTAACATTTAACAAAGTCCTGACTGCAGGAGAAAATACTAAATTATGATTTGAGCATATAAACTAAGCAAGAAAACTCTGTGATAGAGTTGCGGCATTTGGATTTTGTTCAGATTCAAACTATACTACACATTTTTGCAGTCTTTCCTTTCTTTACAGAAGATTACTTATATGATTAATCCTAAGTATGGAGATCAGTACAAATACTTTGTATAAACAGAGATGAGTGATGATGGAAATCAACAGACCAGAAACTAGAGAGTTTCTGGGATGGGAAACTTGGTAACAGAATGATGTGGAAAGAAATAGGTTAGTTTTCCTTTGACTTCCCTGGGCTCCAGTTCTCTAACCAACAGTAGAAAACATCTTGAAAAGACTGTTTTTAGAGTTTTATGTGTCAGTGTCACTTGCAGGTAGCTGTGGCAGCCCAGACCTCAAGGAGGTTCCCTCAGGGTGGACTTTTTATAAGCTTGTGCTAAACTGGAGCTCATCGAGTTCAGAGTATGTTTAAATACGCCCACCCAGGTACCCACTGTACCAGTGCAAAGGCTTTAAAGCAGTTGTACATGATAATCACTGCCTACATGCAGATTTTTTCATGAGCTTTAATACAGTATTCTCAAAAAGAAGGTGAGGTCAGGGTACTGTTCCCATGGCTTGACATTGATTGCATAGCTCATGCAGAATCAAGGCATGAAGAGGAAGGTTAGAAGTTGAGAAGGCCTATAGCACATATGCTGCTGAATGGGACAGTTGTATATTATAGGTGGACAGTGGGGAGAAAAAAGAAGAATAATAATCAAAAATTATATTTATTGCTTCTGATCTTTTTCCTGTGTTCCAATAATTCAAAATTATTTCTGTTGTGAAATTAATTTTTCAATGTCCAGGTCCATTTATTGGTTTAAACTGAAACAGGGGAAGTTCAGGTTGGATCTAAGGAGGAAGTTCTTTACTGTGAGGGTGGTGAGGCACTGGCACAGGTTGCCCAAAGAAGTGGTGAATGCTCCATCCCTGGTAGTGCTCAAGGCCAGGTTGGACAGAGCCTTGGGTGACAGGGTCTATTGGAAGGCATCCCTGCCCATAGCAGAAGATTGGAACTAGATGATCTTTAGGTCCTTTCCAACCCAAACCATTCT